TCGAGGGTGCGGTAACGGAAAGCCTGGTCGTACGAGACGATAGTGCTGACAGATTTCATTATAGGTGTGCAGTTGGTTCCGGAGCCATTTCTCGTCTTTAGGCTGTGGTCCACCCCCTCTCCTGACGCGGTGAGTAAGGTCTCGCGCAAGGGAGTGGGCAAGCTCGTTGGCGTCTGCGACGAGGGGGTGGGTTTCGGAGCCCATATGGCCCGGGAACGAGATTCAACGCTCGCTGTCAGTCCACGCGGCCCATGAGAGCACTCGGGCTGCTTTTTTAAGCTAGATTCACCCGTGAGGGCAAAATCCTGATGCTCCGCCGACAATAGGCACCCGACAGTGGACTAGAGGGCGCGACGAAGCTTCTTGGGCCGCCTCAGCATTGTTGGTACCGACCACCAGGGATACTAAGAAAATGAAACGCTCGCTAAACACGGTGACACACTGAAGTGTCAATTCCCTTTTTGGCATGTTTTCAAAGAACGCTTCCTAGGTGCTTACATAATCAGCCGTGACCCTCCTGCTCACAACTAAAAAAGAAACTGATATGCGCGCGCAAGTTCGGTTTTGCTGCATCTACTCGCTCGGCTACGCATTCGAAGACTGGGTTTTGCTGCGCCTACTTGCTAGGCTGTCTGTTCTGGTGCTACCATCAGATCTTGTAAACTTCATTGCCGGCTGCCTATAGCACGCGATTGGTTTATTCCGGCGCAGCAGCGGACACGTCGCATGCACACAGTCGGAGCTACGCTCGCGGAATCCTCGTGCATACTGTCGACTCCTATGCTTATGCAGCACGCTTGTTACGCCTTTATTTTCTACGTGGAGCTGCTTAAGACAAGACACAGCTGACACTATAGTAAGATATTCATATTTCTGCTGATTTATCTGTTGTGATATCGCGTTTTTGAAAGCGCGAGAAAGTCAGCCTTTTCACGAGCACCTCAAACGCTAAAAAGCGTCTGCGTCTACATGAAACGCTGACGGTGCACCCCCGTCACTTTCAACAGCGTTACGAGACGCGCGCCAAAACGGACTACTTCGCGTAGTGCTACATGTGCAGAAGCTCCGCCTCCGTAGCTTTCCCTTCAGTGCCAAGAAAAGTTGTCACCCAGTATAAAACACGTGGCTTTTAAGTCGGCTGCCAGCTTCCCAGCCACGCCAATCCGACTAATGTTGACCGATTTGACGCTGAATCCTCTCGATCGAGAGCAGACGACTGTCAAACGGAAGGGATCGAAATAGCGGCGACACATCTCCATCTGTGCCGCAAGCGGAGGAGAGTGGATGAAGTGTGGACGGCACGTTTCGATGACACCGCACGTCACGTGATGTGCCGTCCGCTGCTAAAATTCCTCCTCCGTTCCCTCGTGTGAATCCACCTTTACAGACTGAGCCCACATGGAAGGCTTGGGCCGCGGTTCAGAATCGGTGTAAATTGTAGGGCGGGTTGGGTTCGCCGTTTCTAAAGCGATTGCTACTTGTTCTGCGCGGTCAGGGTCCGAGTTTAGTAGCTAAAGTGCTGTGAGCAGTTCTCCTCGTAGCAAAGTTACAGCTGCTACATAATGCTTATAGTTGGAGTATTTTGCGGCGTCTACAAAGGCGACAGTGTGGGGCACAGCGGCTGTGGTTTTCAGTAGCACGGCGCTGCGTGCTCTACAACGACTCTGGTTGTCGTCCTGGTGCTTGTTACGTGTGAGTGGAGGTATTCGAATGCGGTCCCTAATCGAGTGGGACAGGCTGCATTTTCGTTGGGTAGAAAAAGAGCACGTGAGGTTCGGGGTGAGCTAAATATTGTCTGCCTGCCTATGTGGAAGATAGTCTGGCTAGTTGAGCTACATCTTGAGCTTGGACAATTTTCCTTAATGTGTTGTGAACGCCCAAGGCCATGAGCTTTTTTAGTTTTGGAATAGAGGACAGTCCTGGGGATTGTCTGATGCATTTACTACACTGCTGTTCTCAATCTAGGTTTGTTCTTTCAATTCGTCTGTTTTCTCTTTATCTATATACTGCTTAGTAACAGCTATAAGATGAACCACTGAGGCCGCTGCAGCATTTATTTCGATTGGGGCTGAAATTTACGAATATTCTTCTCACACTTATGCATTGCGAGAACTCGTAATATGACTGCAATGCAAACCAGAGCAAGACCGTGCAGTGTTCAGATTAACTGGGTGCTTACAAATGAGTTTTCTTTAAGAAGAAACTCCATGCATCGCTTGTTTGCTTCGTAGTTCGTTGCTGTGAATAAGGACCACCATGAGTAGTTCTTGAAGCCGTCCTCGTGAAAGTATTGCCCTGAAAGTATTGCACAAATACGCGAATCAAGAGTTAAAGATCAGTCCCTATGCCTTTTCATACGAGTGTAGCAAAATCAAAATAAATTTTCATATAAAAGAACAATGCCATGGAATATTTTTTTTTCGTTTCGATTGATGTAAAGTTATATACGTGAATCACACAATGATGCATACGAAAGTTTAGGTAACACAAGTGTCGCTAGTTACCGCAGACAAGCGTAGGATACAACTATTTAAAGCACTAGAAAAAGCGTCGTTATGGGAGTGGTGTTCGAGCAGTGTGTCTGCGTGTTTTTTTTTTTACGCATAACTCAGCTAAAAGCATGTATTAGGTGTGAAACTAAATTTGCGTTCTTCTGATGATAACTATGCGCATCTACCCTTTATTTGTCTAGCATAAGCTTGTAAGTCTCTGCATATTCTGGTCATGCTAAGACAATTTTTACTTGTCGTGAGAACTGTTTGAATATCCGATGCATCTGAGCTTCAGTTCTCTATTAACACCATATGGCCAACCGTTAAATGTATTTTTACTACGATAGATCATTCGTGATTTTCCTCAATTTGAGTGCAAGTTCCCAGGAAGCTCAGACGATCCTTACCGGATCCCAAGAATGCCTGTAGCATTTCCTTGGCAAGCACAAATCCAGAATTCGAGAAATGAACACTCCTGTCAAGAAGATACACGATAAAATCAATAGTATACAAATCAAGTGCACACTGAACTGGCATGTTTGTGTAGACGAATTAATAAATAGCTACGCCGAAAGCCCGACATCAGTCTGCTTGTCTAGCGCTGGTAAATGCTGTAATTTGTGATTCTGTGACTGAAGCAACTTTCCGCGTTTTCATTTCATCCAACAAGAAAGCGGTAATACAAGCGTACGGTGTGTCCATATCTTTAAGCGTAATAAAATGGCCCTTACTTTCACATGAAACTCGCAAAACATTGAAATGAGACTTTTTTTTTTCTTATCTAGCTGCTATACAATTGGTTCAGTAAGGGATTGTACCACGGCACAATCGGTGTATTTCAATTAATCACCTGCAATCCGCAGACTTCAAGAGACTGCTTTGTATAAAGTTCAAGAAAATGGCAGTTTTTCTGACACAAACTGTTGCGATAGATAAACCAATAAACGTGAAAGACCTGTCACTTCGCATCAGCACATCATATTGAAAGGGCTAGAACCTAACGGAATTCGACTGCAAGCAGCTTACTGTTGCGACGCAACCTTGTATGCAGTTGGAAATAAAAAAAAACAGCAAAAACACATAGAACAAATATTCATAACTTCTCTTCCCCACATCCAGAAAATTAACGCGTGCTAGTTGTTCTGCTTTGCCTCAAGGTAACCTAATCACACGTCTACTACATTTATAGCTATCATCATCAGTCTTACTATGCTCACTGGAGGGCAAAGGCCTTTCCCATAATCCGCCAATCAGCCCGGTCTTGTGTTTTTGGCTGCCACGTTATACCTGCGAACTTTTTAATCTCATCGGCCCACCTGAATATCTGTCTCCCATTCATGCGTTTGCCTTATCTGCGATCCCTTTCAGTTATCCATAGTGACCAGCAGTTGTCCTGCCAATGCGGTACGTGTACAGCCCATGTTCATTTCTTCTTTCAGATTTCAGCTATATGATATCCTTAACCTCGGTTTCTTCCCTGGCCAACTCTGCTCTGTTCTTGTCTCTTGAGGCTACACCTATCGTTTTCCTTTCCATAGCTTGCTGCGTCATCCTTAATTTTAGCTGGATTTATCTGAGTACTCTTTGTAAGCCTCCAGCTTTCTGCTCCGTAGGTAAGTACCGGCAAGATGAAGCTGTCATGTATCTTCCTCTTGAGGGTTAGTGGTAGCTTACCATTCATAATTTGAAAATGCTTGTCGAATGTGATCAACCCTATCTTTATTCTAGTTATTTCACTCTCACGGTTCGGCTCCGCGGCTACTACCTGTCCCAAGTAGACATATTCCTTACAACTTCCAGCGTCTCTCCACCTATCGCAGAGCGCTGTTTTCTGCCGAGACTGTAGCACAGTACTTAAGTTTTATGCATATTATTTTCAGACCTACTCTTCTGCTTTCCGTGTTCAGTTAAGTAATAATGAGCTGTAATTCGTCCACTGAGTCACTCATCAATTTAATGTCATCAGCAAATCGCAGGTTACTAAGATACTCTCCATTAATTCTTATCCCTGACTCTTCCAGACCTAGGGCCCCGGAAATCTCCTGTACACACGCCGTGAATAGCATTTGGGAAGATTTTCTCCCTGTCCACACCCTTCTTTATTGGGATTCTGCCGCTTTCTTTATAGAGAACAATATCTTCAATTTAATTATGTGTGATTTCATTTAGGCTGAAGTGAAATATTTACCTATGAGATAGCAACAAGGAAGAGATTCTCCTGGCGGTGGGAAATTTCACTGTCATTTACTGCGGCATTAGCGTAGCGATGACTAAATGTTAGAGAATTTGAAAGGTGACTCTTGATCAGATTTTCTCAGTCTCAGATAGTTCTCATTTGTCAACTATAGTGGCATCTGTAACCCTTCAAGAGTTCATTACAATCAAGTTCGCTCGCCTGCACACACACGTTACAACGTACTTACATAATCCCTTTATTCTTATCCTTATTTTTCATGCCAAAAAATTAATGAAATGGTATAAAACCATATAAAAACAAACTTACGGAATAGCGTCAGTGAACAATGGGATTACGAGCATTCCGTATGGAACAACTGGAACAAGAAATAAGTTATTTCAATTCAGCATGAATGACGCGAAACAGTAATCATTTTATACTTTCGAGTGAAAATGTAGCCCCCAAAATATAGTATCACATGTGCGAGCTTTCAGTGTCACTGTGACTGCACACGGCGAACAGATACGCACTTATGTGCTAAAAGAGTAGTACTGCATAACAGATGTCTACTCTAAGTTGTACTTACGAATATACGTGTAACTGTTGTTACGAATACAAGCCAAGTGAAGTAAACATTGCCATGTATTTTGAATTACTAGATGCCTATCTTCGCTGCAAAACTGGAAGAGTGTTTCAAATCAGCGGATTATGCGGCTCTATTTTAGGCTCCTGGAACGTTGTTAATCAGATCCTGCACCAATTTCGCGGGCACAAAGCTATTGTGAACTTGTTCAAAAAATACACATTGCTGACAGACAGAGCCCAGAGGTGTGGCCGTTGTGTTCTTCTTATCGCCATCACAGTCGTCTCCGTTATCTTTGCTTTATGACAATGATAGTAACGGAGCAATTGACGATTGAGCTAGTGCCTTTGTTAAGAAATGATTTGGGAGCCTGAATTCAACAGACCTCACCCGTAATTAGACGAACCTGTCACAGTGCCCTTAAGCTTCCATTGTTTCGCTTATATTTACGTTTGCACACGTTTCTGCTGGTGAAGCAGTGATCGTATCGTGCGAGATGGTTCTTAGTAGTACAAACACGTAGCCGCGTTTGCAGCTGCTGGTACATTTATGGTATGCAACCTGGATCAACATTGCTTCTTAAGACAGTGGTTCTAAGTTGGCTGTCCGGTGACCCCACAGTGTCCATGATGGCATTTTCGGTGGTCCGCAATACACATCCTTAAAAAGTAAAACTTTTTTCTTATGAGGCACACACTGTTCCATGAAGTATCTCCTAGTGATTCCTTAATACATTTCACCGCCGAACATTAGTACATTGCTCCGAGATTGACTTATGCCTTCCCTTTTCCGTGGGGTGGCTTTAAAGCATTTGATGCAGTTTTGTATGACATAGGGATGCAAATACAACACTTCTAGGTTTGCATATTTTACGAGCAAGCATAGCTATAAACAGGCTGGATCTGGCTCTAAACCGCGCTGCTTAATAATTAGCTGTTGAGGTCGATCTGACGTGCTACTTCAGTATGGCCATACATGACTAGCGAGGAATAAAAGCAACCAGTTTCCACGCTGCATGTCTGGTAAATTTACCGGCCACCACTTTTTAACTGAAGGAAGTAGACCTCGACATGTCCGTGACTTACAGCCACTGCTTCAAACCCTTCAATGAAATATTGGTAGCGGAAAGGAAAGAATACGTTACTGAATAATACGGAATAAGAGTACATGTGTCATGTGATCCTATTTTCGAGTTTTGTGTGGTGGTCTCTTGTAGCAATAAATTTAAAGTTTTCAACGAAATACGAATCCTGCCGACAACTTCACCTTCCTTAGTATCTTTGACTTCTATAGTAAGCGGGATCAGATAACAGGACGCTGGCACCTTAGCAAAAATAATATTAAGTGGAGACATTTAACGTCCGAAAACTAAGATAGGATCATGAAAGACAAGAAAATTTCAACCAGCTGAGGTTCTTTATTGTGCGCCGAAATCTAGGTATACGTGGGCCTCGAGAACTCTCTCCTTTATCGAAATTGCAGCCCTTGCGACCGGGTTTCAATCCCGCGACATGCGGCTTAGTTAATCATCATAACCATTTGACGGTCTAGGCGGGTTATGCAGAAAATTATGCGACAAAAATATAGGCATCAAGTGGGATGAAACGTATTTATTGCTATGCGCGCGTAACTTCAGGCCAAAGCCCCTTAAAGACGAAATCCGCGCTGCTGAAATAAAAGACAAATATAAAGAGTCGGCAGGGCTGTTTTTTGGGACAGACCCATGCCTCATCAGCTAGAGTGGACGAGTGCATAACTTTGTCTTTTTGGGTGAAGGTATTTGATTACATTTCGAACAGCCTCAGAAGCGTAAAAGTAAAACTACACCGCAAACGGGTTCTCAAGATCCTACTGCCTCGTTGTGCAATCACAATTCTAACTCACATACACGAAGTATAGCTAAGCGAGAACAGAGCCACAAAGCAAAAGCACAGCCCAAAATGAAAGATATGTATCGCATATGTAAGACTATTAACGAACTTACACGACTTCTTGTTGTGCTGCGGACGACGAGACAAGAACTAGACTGAGACGGCTGTGCAGGTTGTGCGCACCACATAGCCCGTAATGTCTGTCTCGTCCTCGTCTCCGCAGCGCAACGAGAAATCGTGAACCACCACCAACTAGCCCACTTCATCACTTTGCTAGATGCACGTGCAAAGTCAACTGCAAGACGCCACTTACATAGTGTGTTCTTAACGGGATCGTAGACGGGTGCCACCCCGATGTGGTTGACGACCCTGTACAATGCATCATAAGCAGCTGATCAATCACTTCAGGTGGTGCATATATCAGTTCGGTGAGTGTTGTACTACAGTCGGCTACAGCCAAGGAGCTTAAGCTCCATTCATAAACCAAGTCGAACATGCCATTCCACTGCGGAAAGTCTCATACCTGCTTGTTTCTGTTTAACGCGGTAGTGCTCTTGGTCCTAATGATGATAGTTTGTATACTGAACGAAAGCATTTTGGACAAAAGTGTTTTTTTCTGAGCACCGACCTCGGGATACCCACCCAAAATTTTCAGAATGAGTAAGTGTTCTGTCTAAAACCAGGGAAATGAACGTGCGCTGCTTTGACGATGGTAAGCGCGTAGAATTGCTTTTACGATTGACAGACTTGCCTCGTTGCGCAAGGCTTCCCAAGTATAAGCTTCGGTTTCAACAATACATTCGTTTAGGTGTGTCGCTTCGCATCAATAATGGCTGGGGTTTTACGTCTTAAAACCACGATATGATTATTAGAGACATCTTACTGGAGGGCTCCGGAAATTTCGACAATCTGTTGTTCTGTTCTTTAACGTGCACGTGCACTGGCATTCACAAGACACGGGCCTCTACCATTTCGCCTTTACCGAATTGCGACCGCCACGGCCGGCATCGAACCCGCGACCATCCGGTCAGCAGCCGAGCCCCTTAATTCCTGCTCCACCGTGGTGGATCGTACATACATTCTTAGGCATTAACCGACAACAGACGAACGTTGCATCTCGCTTGCGCAGACACCTCAGCTGGGCCTTCATGATCCGCAGATTCATCGTGCGTTCTACACAACCATGACCGGAACTGTGCAAGACGAAAACGATTCGCGACTACTTCAGCAAGTCGCTCTCACCTGGACGCTACCGGTTCGTCACCATGCATCGTGGCTCGCAGCACCTGTGCTTTCCTACGGGCAATCGTGAGCAGGTTTTCGTACAAGTCTGTCTCCCAAAGGCTCTGACCCTGGGTATAGAGCGCCACCATTACCACTCAATTTGCCCAACAACGTTGCCTCTTGGGCAAGTCGCAACATGCCATTCACAATGGTAATGAGCGATAACACAAAACAACAGACGAACGAGAAGACTAAGACGCAGAACATTCTTGTAGTACTGACAACTGATGTTTTGAAAATACCCGACGTGGCGATCAAGATTACCCCACACAACTTTCTTTGTTGCGCACAATTTTACCCTGCACCTGAAAATAGTGATATCTCAAATATTACGTCCCAAAACCACGATATGATTATGAGAGACGGCATCCGGAAATTTTGATCATATGGTATTATTTGGCATGCAATGGCATCACACAGTCCACGGTCCTCTACCATTTAGCCTCCATTGAAAAGCCACCGTCCCGGCCGGGATCGAAGCAGCAACCTCCAGTTCAGCAGCCGAGCGTCCTAACCACTGTTCCACCGAGGCAGACACCCCTCAAAGTAGGGCAGACTGACTATTTCACGTGATGACGTCCTCACTTGACCTCACGTAGTCACGCTACAGTGACATCATAAAAAACGTCTATATATCACGATTTTCCAAGCACAATTAAACTTTTCCGCGATTAATCTTGAAGCGCAGACATGAAGCATTCTTCCAAGTGTTACTATGTAAAAACGCAACTGTTTCTAACTTTTAAATGCAAATATATCCTCTTGTTGCAGTCATTCATAAGGTAATTATTAAATTTTACTTGATTGTGCCACTAAAAGCCACCATGATTGTCTCCCTTTGTGTCCCCCTGGATACATCAGTTATCTACAAAGGTTGTTCTCATGATATAACCAAGGCTCAATTTTAAGAAAACCATACAGCTTAACTTTGAGCATCCGGTATTTAGCGTTTTTCTTGCGGTATAGTTTGAGACAGGTGAACGTAAAAGTAAATAAACAAACAAACAAACAAATATTTGAATGAATGAATGAAAAATAAATAAATACGTAAACGCTCGGCTCGCGTCAAAATGTATTGCGAGGTGTCATTACCACATGTCATATTGCGTGGAAGAAGCGTAGAATCGCGCCATGTGTAGAACATGTCAAGTGCGTGACGAATGGGTCACAGGGTAAACGAAAGCACCCTCACCCCGCCATTACGCTGTGCTCGGACGCATTTATATATTATCATAAAAGGAACCGACGAAGTGAGCAACTGCCTAGGGTCGCGTGTTGTCTTACGAGGGTGTACTACGTACGTACTGCGCCAATTTGCTAGAGGAAGAATTATGGTGCAGTGGCCACTTCCCAGGTGTGCTACCATTGGGAATCCTAGAAATGTTACGGTCAATGTAACTGGCTCAGACTTTGCACTCCGTGCGCTGCGGTTGAGGTGTAAGCCGAGACGCCAAACTAAGCCAGGAACTGAGGAGCTATCGCATTCTACTTAGAGGAGATGGCTAAGCATCCTCCTAATTTTTCACCTTGTATGCTGCCAGAATCAATCAAATGTCCCGTTTGAAAGTTTTAGGACTTCTTGCTCTCTTCTCAAATCTTTATTTGAAAAAGAGGCAGTACTTAGCTCTTCACTTACCGAGGTAAATCGCTCTGTAGCTGGATGTGTTCCGTCACCAAAGGATACATTCAAGCTTTGAACCTGTGAAAAGAAATGGTTGACATGGAATGCGTAATGTATCTAGTGGCTAAGGTACTCGGCCGCTGGCCCGCAGGTCACGTGATCGAATACCGTCTGTGGCCGCTGCGTTTTCGATGGAGACGAAAATTGTGTAAGCCCGTGTGCTGAGATTTGGGTGCGTGATAAAGAACCCCAACTGGACAAAATTTCCGAATCTCTACACTCGGCCACCAGGGGGCCCGGGTTGGTTGAGCGGTTTCACAACAGCTCAGCATTCGGACCTCAAAATCTCCGTCAAAACTGTGAGTAATATTCTAAACTTCCTCGCATGGTTTTATGAGGCTTCGGAGCACTTTGAGGAGCACGGTTTAGCCACCCAAATCAGTTACAATTTGAGAAATTAACGACTCATACTTCGGTCAGGCCTAACAACAGCAGCCACTGGCTCCACTTCGATGAAATCAGGAATTCCGCAACAAAAGCTACTACGCACCTGGAAAACCACCCTCGATTCTTCTTGGGACAATCCGGAGCCTCGCCGCTACCATCTTATCTTGAATATGCGGGAAAAAACGGTTTTTCTTCACTGAAAATCAACTGTGAGTAACACGTGTATCCGCCCTTGGGGGCTGCCATGTTGACAGGGGACTTTAGCACCTGCCCCCTCGTGCCAAAGTTTGAATGAAAAGGCAAAATATCACAACAAATATTTGTAACAATTATAAATCACGCAGAAGGAGGATTTCGGGCTCTGAGCTCAATCTTACCAGTTTCTGACCGGCGAAAACAAACCCACAAGCAATTTTTCCCACCTTATGACCATATGGGAGCCGCCATCTTGTGTGGGACCAAACCACTTTGAGGACAACGAGTCATATCTCGGCTTTTACACACCCCAGGACGACAAATCAGGTCTCAGTTGAGTCGTTAAAATCCGGAGATAGCAGTAGAAAAAACCGCGAGCGCCCAATTGAACTGCGAGCGTCAAAAAAGACTTATTCAGAAGACACACTCAGTTTTGCCGGACTGCTGTCACTGCTTGAGCTGGGTTTGGCGAAACAGCTTCCACAGCGAATTAAGCCCACCGGAACTGCTCCTACACCTCTTAGCCAATAAGCACAGATTATTCCAACTTGGGGAGCGGGAGCGGCCGCGTCAGCAGCACGGGTAAGTGAGCTCTGCACATATCTACCTATAACTTTAGCACTTTTGGTCCTAGGAGGGTCAGAGTGATGTTTATTTGTTCGTGAAGATACAAGGAGTTCAACCGCTACAAATACTGCTATTACAAACGAAAATTTTAACTTTTAGGAGCGGAAAACAGTGTGAATCTGTGAAAACAACAACAGTCAGACCACGTGACGGTGCCGCCCAATTCCCAACCAGGGAAAAAATCGCGTGTTGATGGAACTACATTAAGAGGCCTGAGGTGCGGCCTCACCGGTAACCACCACCGGGAACGCACTCCCTCACCAGAGAAGGATTGGCCACCCTGGTGCAGCAGTATCTGGCCACCACCTCCCACATGGATACGCGAAATAACTCACGGCCCTCAGTCCTCAGCAGCTGCGAAGCAACTGACTACGGCGGTGGTCAGATCTGCAACGCAGCAGAAGGTGCTAAGAATCTCTGGACTACAGGCCGCCATTGGAACCTGAACTTGGCAACGTTTAACGCTAGAACCTCATCTAGTGAGGGAAGTCTAGCTGTACTATTCGAAGAGCTAGAGGGTGTTAAATGGAAACACAAACTCAGAAATTCCCCTTCTAACGTCAAGCTCATCAGCTACTTTACTTTTATTGGACCTAAGCTCGAATATGCCTGTATAGTCTGGGACCCCTACACTAATCACAACATCCGTAAAATAGAAAGAATTCAGAGAAAAGCTGTCAGGTTTATTTACTCTAAATACTCACGTACTGATTCTCCCTCACAAATAATGCTTGCTAACAAAATCCCCAGCCTTGAATCCAGGAGAAAGTGCTTCCGTCTTGATTTCCTTTCTTCACTAAGTAAAGGTGCACTGTCCATTGACCCATCTCCGTTGTTGTCACCGTTACAAACAAGACCTACTAGGCACCACAACCCGAATGCTTTCGCCCCATATTTTGCTGCTACTGACACCTTCAAGTACTCTTTTTTTCCGCGTACGATACAAGAGTGGAATGAATTACCCCCTGTATAAGTGCCTTGTTTGCTTGTATTGTTTGTATTTTTGCATTTTATCTTCTTGTGCCCCCCTGATTGGACCTAACCATGGTCTGCAGTATGTATTAAATAACTAAAATAAATAAATAAATATAATAGGACTCAGTGAGGTTAGGAGGACAGATGAGGCCTATACGGTGCTACAAAATGGGCACGTCCTCTGCTATTGGGGCTTGGTAGACAGAAGAGAACTGGGAGTGGGGTTCCTAATTCACAGAAACATAGCTGGCAACATAGAGGAATATTATAGAATTAATGAAAGGGTGGTAGGTATTGTAATTAAACTGAATCAAAGATACAAGATGAAGGTAGTACAGGCTTACGCGCCTACATCCAGGCATGATGACGCTTCAGTTGAAGGCTTCTATGAAGACGTGGAGTCGGCAATGAGTAAGGTAAAAACACAGTATACTATAGTGATGGGCGACTTTAATGCAAAGGTAGGGAAGAAGCAGGCTGGAGACCAGGCAGTAGGAGATTATGGCATCAGCACTAGAAACGCCAGAGGAGAGCTACTAGTAGAATTCGCAGAACGCAATAATTTGCGGATTGGAATACCTTCTACCGAAAACGAGAAAACCGCAAGTGGACATGAAGGCGCCATAATGACGAAAATAAGAACGAAATAGACTTTATAATGACCGCACACCCAGGAATCGTGCAGGATGTGGAAGTGGTTGGCAAGGTACGATGCAGTGACCATAGAATGATACGGTCTCGAATTCGCCTAGACTTGAAGAAGGAACGACAGAAACTGATACGCAAGAAGCCAATCAATGAGCTAGCACTGAGAGGGAAAGTACAGGAATTCAGAGTGTCGCTGCAGAACAGGTACTCGGCTCTTAGTGAGGAAACCAACCTTAGTGTAGATACAATGAATGATAATCTGACGAGATCATTACGGAATGTGCAGTGGAAGTTGGAGGCAGGGTAGTTAGACAGGACACTGGCAAGCTTTCCCAGGAAACGAAGAACCTAATTAAGAAGCGTCAAACAATGAAAGTGCCAAGTACAACAGACGAAATAGAACTGGCAGAGCTTTCGAAGTTGAATAATAGACGTAAAGTATGCGATGTAAGAAGGTATAACATGGAGAGAATTGAACACGCTCTGAAAAACGGAGGAAGCTTCAAAGCA